GCCGCGGGGAGGGAGCGGGGCCGGGCCCGGGGGGAGCGGGGGCTGCGGCCTGAGGGGGCCGGGATCCCTCGTCACGCCCTGGCTCGGAGCCTGGGGACCTGCCCCGGGAGGAGGTAATTGAGCAGGAACCGTGACCTACTGGTAAGGCTGATTTACCAGCCTCAGCTGGGGAGGGAGTTTTTACAAGGGCATCAACCGATAGGATGAGGGGGTAATGGCTTTAAACTGGAAAAGGGCAGGTTTAGGTTAGACATTAGGAAGAAATTCGTCGCTATGAGGGTAGGAAGGGGCTGGAACAGGTTTGCCCAGGGAAGCTCTGGATGCCCACTCCCTGGAAGTGTTCCAGGGCAGGCTGGGAGGGGTGCTGAGCAACCTGGGTTGGTGGGAGGTGCCCCTGCCCATGCAGGGGGATTGGAACTACGTATTTAAGGTCTCTTCCAACCCAAATCAGTCTGTGATTCTATGAAATGAGAGGCTGGTACCAAGCACTGAGGGAGCAGGGGCTGTCCCTCCCCCCCAGAGCCTGAGGCAGGAGCCTGCTCTCCTGTGCAGGACAGCACATCCCACTGCAAGGAAAATGCTTGTTTTCATAACGTATCCCTGCAGGAATGTGTCACCCTGCACACGGGGCCACTTGCAAAACATCTCTAAGCCAGTGTTAATATTGCACCATTAGATCTCAGCATGGTCTTCAGTTCAGGAGATAATTATTTGGCCACGTAGGGTCTGCCCAGCGTTGTGAGGTGGCACCTGGATGGCAGTGAAGCATGCAGGGCTTCTGTGCAGGCGTTACCTCTGCATACTCACAGTGACATGACTTTCCTTTCACCCTGGTTATTTGCCCCTTCAGATTTCCACACAAGTGGAGGAGAACTAAAGAAGCTCAGACTGAGTTCAAGCCTTTGCACGGAGCCTGCAGCATTTCACAGCTGTGTGATCTGGGGAAGGTGACATGTGGCTGAGCACAGGGGCTTCTGGGACTCTGCAAGATAGAGCAGCTGAGCCACTCAGAGCAAAGTCACCCCCAGGCCGCGGGGAGGGAGCGGGGCCGGGCCCGGGGGGAGCGGGGGCTGCGGCCTGAGGGGGCCGGGATCCCTCGTCACGCCCTGGCTCGGAGCCTGGGGACCTGCCCCGGGAGGAGGTAATTGACCAGGAGCCGTGACCTACTGGTAAGGCTGATTTACCAGCCTCAGCTGGGGAGGGAGTTTTTACAAGGGCATCAACCGATAGGATGAGGGGGTAATGGCTTTAAACTGGAAAAGGGCAGGTTTAGGTGAGACATTAGGAAGAAATTCGTCGCTATGAGGGTAGGAAGGGGCTGGAACAGGTTTGCCCAAGGAAGCTCTGGATGCCCACTCCCTGGAAGTGTTCCAGGGCAGGCTGGGAGGGGTGCTGAGCAACCTGGGTTGGTGGGAGGTGCCCCTGCCCATGCAGGGGGATTGGAACTACGTATTTAAGGTCTCTTCCAACCCAAATCAGTCTGTGATTCTATGAAATGAGAGGCTGGTACCAAGCACTGAGGGAGCAGGGGCTGTCCCTCCCCCCCAGAGCCTGAGGCAGGAGCCTGCTCTCCTGTGCAGGACAGCACATCCCACTGCAAGGAAAATGCTTGTTTTCATAACGTATCCCTGCAGGAATGTGTCACCCTGCACACGGGGCCACTTGCAAAACATCTCTAAGCCAGTGTTAATATTGCACCATTAGATCTCAGCATGGTCTTCAGTTCAGGAGATAATTATTTGGCCACGTAGGGTCTGCCCAGCGTTGTGAGGTGGCACCTGGATGGCAGTGAAGCATGCAGGGCTTCTGTGCAGGCGTTACCTCTGCATACTCACAGTGACATGACTTTCCTTTCACCCTGGTTATTTGCCCCTTCAGATTTCCACACAAGTGGAGGAGAACTAAAGAAGCTCAGACTGAGTTCAAGCCTTTGCACGGAGCCTGCAGCATTTCACAGCTGTGTGATCTGGGGAAGGTGACATGTGGCTGAGCACAGGGGCTTCTGGGACTCTGCAAGATAGAGCAG